AATACAAAGCTGAAAATGAATGAATTGCATCTAAAATATTGTGTTCATTTTTCACAGGGTCTAGTCCTTCCCTTGCCTACCCCACTAATATTCTTAAGAGGGTCTCTTCTCCAGTCTTCAGAGAGTAGCTGGAAGTGGGGAGGCAGAAAAAGTTCCTCCTTTCCTTCCACTCTACAGTTTTAATCTGAAATCTTAGGCGCAGTACTGTGCCCAGAGCTCAGAAACTGCTCACACTGATGAAATTCCCTATTGCAAAACGTGCATAGAACAATGGGAGTTTCGAACACTGCTGCAGTCACAGTTGGATCAGTGAAATATAACATCCAAAACCAATGTTGATTCCTTCCTGTTGTTCACAACAAAGATTGGTGATGCTTTGGTGGTCAGTTTCTTAGGAGCAGCTGCTGAGTACAGCATCTTTAAGACATTGTTAGTCTCTGTAGTGGCATTCTCCCAACATCTGAGAGAAGAGCGTAACTTTCTTTTACAATTAAAGTGTTACAATTGCACGATCAAGTGCAAGAGGGATTTGTGACATATTAATGTTTAATTGCAATTGCGACCAAAACTACTGAATTATCTATTCCATAATTCATGAAAGGCACAGGCAGCAACTTATTGATCCGAGGCTGATCTCACACAGTGACGCAAAGGCAAGGACCTAAGTCGAGTTCAAGTTGATTTAGAGCCATTCTGGGAACAGAGGCTGCTCCCAGTAATTCAGCAGGTGAACAGCACTAAAAATATTTAATGGGAAAAGGAAATAAATTTCAAAAGGATGCATTGCAAGGTCTTCAAATGCTAAGAATTCCTTTGTTCTTGGAAAATATTTTGCTGAGCCATAGTCGAGTTTTATTTCTCACTAAAACGTGCTATCCTTTACATGGCAGCTTAACTTCCCGTATAGTCACATGTAATATCCAACTACCATATCAGGCCTTCTTAAGCCGCCCTGAGCCCGGCCTTGGCTGGGGAGGGCGGGGTATAAATAAAATTTATTATTATTATTATTATTATTATTATTATTATTATTATTATTATTATGAATGCTTGCAATAGGGTTTACAAAATGGGTAATGATGGGATAGAAATCCCCTATCTTATTTTAGTTTATGCTTTTTTTTACAGTCAAGGGGCAACTCAGGTGGAAAGAGCATGTAGGCAGCTCCTGGCAAGGTCAAGGTATCCTTTCTTAAGCTGACTGATCATATTTACAATGGCCGTGTTTGTAGGGTGTGTGGTGTATGGGGTGCCGTGCTCCTTCTTGTCCACCTTTGGTTCCCACCCTGCACTCAGCTCTCATCTGTGGCTCCTAGAAGCTGTCAGCATGCAACAGCAGCCACAACCTGGAAACAGCTTCAACTGGCCAGCAAAACCAGGTGATGGTAGCCAATGGGTCTCAAACCCTTGGTGAATTAGGGACTTTCCCTGCATGCAAAGACAATCTCCAGTGGATTGAGGCCAATAATGGGTCCAATGGTCAAGAAGGCAGTTCCTGCATGTAGAGGGAACTGAGGGGGAGATGAGGCTCTTCAACCTGGGAAAATAGGCCATCTAGGAGAGGGAAAACTCTGATCCTAAACTTCTGCTGCCTTGCAGGATGCAGGAGAAGAAAAGTCTAAGGAGTGAACCCTACACAAATCTGGAGTGGAGTCTCTAAGACTGTTGAATGGTGCCTTGTATGCCTCCTTCTTGCAACTCCTGAAGCCAATCTAGTGCCAAATGTATTATCTGCTTTCCTATGGACTATCTTAGCGAGGCAATATTGTCGTCTGGGAAGTCTAGAACCTCCATACACAGTGACAAGGCTTACGCCCCAGGGAGGTCACTTTGGTGCGCTGTTAATGCAGTGGTTTGACTTCACCTCTGGAAGCACACTCCATTGTCTCTCAAGGCAGATGGATAACAACAACAACAAAGTTTGTGGGGGAAGAGTTCCTTTTATACACAAACACAGTGACCTTTCAATGTCCCAAGTCCACAAGGGAATGTGACTCAGGTGTGCTAGAATATCTTATTTATGTATGTAACAATATTCCCTCTCCCAGGAAATTATGATGGCACAAAAAATTGCTTTTTAAAGTGCCTCCCGAAGACCTTTTACCCCACCAATATTTTTCATGTGGCATGGTTGGGCTTGCTCATGCGGGTTTTACAGGTGGATTTAATGTATTTTTTTTCTTTTAACGTTACATTTTATGTATTTTGTTTTTATCTCCCCAACACCATATTCAAATTTTGTGTTTTTAAAAATATATATTTAAAGAAATAAAAATAATTAGGAATAACTATCCTGAACGCCCCACCCCGCCCCAACCAACTTCTGAATCCTGCATATTAGGACTGAAAACACTATGATGCAAGGCAATGTGAAGAAATAGCTTTAGGCTGCAGTAACTGGAACAGCCCAATATGCTCAGCCCAGCTCACACACCCATGAATGAAACTCACCGTTGACTCAGCCAAGCCACATACACTTCCAAGCTATAAATGTGCTGTGGTTGCCTGATGACTCCTTCCCACCTGACTATACCTCTCCAGATTACTCTTCTGTGCTGGGGTGAAAGTGTTGCTCAAGGAGAATGTAGGCCTTCAAATATGATAGGAGACCCCCTCCCAAGTTATACTGAATAGTGGCTGCTCACAGGCCGTCATTCCATGTCGCAAGGTTCCCAGGATTTGCTTTATGTGCTTCATGTGCTTTAAATGTATTGTGTGGATGTGGCCACATGGCAAAATATTAGAGGCTTTATGGAGGTGGCTGTAGTAAGGGGTTTGGGTGTGTACAGTCTTTTGATTGCAAAAGAATAAAAATAACGTGAAAGTATTTTTTAAAGCATTTCTGTTTCCTGTTAACCTAAGTAAAAAGTTTAATACTGAGGCCCCAGCACAACAGCTTGTTAGGCTGGGACCACTCTTTAAAATAATTAGGCAGGATGCTTCCACTGACCCTTGGACTTCCAATGCATCTTATACAAAACCACTTCCATGTACACAGAAAACTGGCATGTTATATAGCCCTGACCTGCAGTTTTCTATGTACTGTGTTTTTTTTTTTTTTTTTTTGTGTGTGTGTGTGTGTGTGTGTAAAAGCATTCAGTCTTGAAAGCTCCCATTTGCAATCTGAAGTGCTATAGGCCAGAAGTCATATTTAGTCCTCCAGAACGGACTCTGTAGTAAGTGCACATAGGATTTTAGCATTACAGGGCAATCCTAACCATGCCTACTCAGAAGCAAATTGAGCTGAACTCAATGGGACTTATTCCCACACACAAATTGTTCTGGGAGTAAGCCCCATTTAGACACAGAGTGGGACCTGCTTTCATGTTAGCACACACAAGATGACGCTGTCAATTTTTCCTTTCTTTCATTCTTTCCCACCTTGTGCAAAGCCCCACCCATTCCCTCTAGCTCTCCTCTTTTTGTGTCATGTTTCGAAATTTACAGGTGACGTTGGCTTTGTACACATTCCCCTATGCTCTACTGCCAGGGTGCTCCTCCTACCTCTGGTTTGGGAAGTGGTGAATCATAGAACTAGAGTCGTACGCAACCATAAAGGTCACCGGGCCAACCTCGCTGCAATGCAGGAATCACAACTAATCATATGTACGCACTTTGGTCACAATCGATGTCTGTTCTGGACTTCCTTACGAAATGCTGCTTTCCAATGCATTTCCCCCCAAACCAGCTTCAGTCCAAATGCAGGAAAAAACCCAACAATCTAGTCCTAGATGCCTTTTAAGCCAATAATGTATACACAGCCTTTGTGGGTCAAATAAGGTATTGTACCACACTGTGAATGACCCCCCCCCAAAGCAGGAAGCCAGAGTGGTCTTTGTGTTAGTCTGTTGCAAACAAAACAAAACAAAACAAAACACAGCAGAGTCTAAGTTGTGGCATCAAAAAAACTTAACGACGTTTACTATCATAAGCTTTCGTGAACTAGTTTTGTGTTAAGTCTTTAAGGTGCCATAATATCTCTTTGTTGCTTTTTCTGTGTTGCTAATTTTCAGATTGTGAGCAGAGGGGCTCATGTTTTCTATCTAGTTATAATAGCATAAAATACAGCATAACCCCATGCACACTTCTTAAAAAATAAGCCTCATCAAGTCCTGCAGGGCTCATTAAGCCTCATCAAGTCTTAAGCTGGGCTTAAGAAGGTATAGCTGGGGTAGGTACACTTTGGGTTTGTAGAACCTACCAGAACCCCAAGATTTGCCAACCTGAGCCACCTTGTAAAAGACAAACAGAATGAGAGAACTGGGTACCCTTGAACACACTCTGAGTCTGGGATGGGTTTTAAGTACCAAATCTGCTTGGAGCTCACAATCCTTTGTCACTAAAGCCCACTCTGGGTCAGCCCAGGTTTTCTTCATTTCAGCTGCCTAATTTAAGGGAACGGGGAATTTATGTGTTGCCACTGTTCTCCGTCCAAATCAAGACCCACACCATACAATTAAAACGGACATTTAAAGCATATGACTTCCTCCAAAGAAGGAAGACATAAGACAGCATGACATAAGCAACTGAGTCGGTAGAGAATGAGACTTTTGGTCGCGGGTTCGAATGCTACAATGGGGTGGGCTGGATGACCCTCAGGGACCCTTCCAACTCTACGATTCTGATATTATTTCACTGCTTTTTCTTCTTCTTTTATAACTGCTGTAAGAAAAACTAACAGCGCCAGACGAGGCCAGCCACCTCTTTTGCAAGCTGGGATCGGAGCGCAACGCCTTGGGGACCTTGCGCATCCCGCCCAGAGGGGGAGACCCGCCTTCTGCCCACGCCCTCCCCCAGGTATAGGATCGTACCCAGTCCCTGAGCCCTCCCCCTTCCCAACACGGCACATTGAACTTATCCTCCCACCCCCAGGGCGCTCCACGTAGGAGGAGGAGCTCCTCTCCCCTCCCCCGCCCCACTCCGAACTCCCGTCGCCCCCTTTCTCCCCCACCTTCCGAGCGAGCGAGCGAGAGATGGGGGCGTGGCTTGGGCGGCGCGCATGGGCCTTGCGCCTGCCTGGCTGCGGCTCCTCGCCTCCTCCTCCTCTCATTCTCCCTCGCGGGCAGGCGCCGCCGACCCTTCCTCAGTGCGGGTGCCGGTGTGGTCGTGGCGCGGGGCCTCTCTCTCAGTCGGCCTCCCCGCTTTTTGCGCTGAGGCGCCGACAGAGCGGCGGGAAAGGAGAGAGGAAGGGGCGCTGAGGAGAAGAAGAGCGGCGGGGAAGCGGCTCCTCCATCCCCCACCCCCGCCACCTACCTCAGGTTTCATCCCGTTTCTCCTCAGAAATAAAGAGGCGGCGCTTCGTCCCTCCCCCCCCTCAAACGGTTAATTTTTTGGAAAAAAAATCGCCCCTCCCTTCATCTCCCCCCCGACCCGCCTCAGGCTTTTGTTGTGTGCGGGGGGGCCCCTTACCTTCCCCCCTCCCCGCCTCTGGGTAGGGAGTCGGGGGTCTCCCGGAGGAGGATGAGGCGAGGCGAGGCCGGCGCGGGATGCCCCCTCCAGGCGGACGCCCCCAGGACGCGCCGGGGCCGCTGAAGAGGAGGAGCAGGCGGCGGCGGCGGAGGAAGACCACCACCGCCGGGTCCTCCAGCGAGAGGCGGCAGAGCGGGCAGGAGGAAGAGGAGCCGCCGCGAAGGGCAGCGCCGCCGCCGCCGCCGCTGCTGTGGGCGGGAAGGGGCTGGGAGGCGCCGCCGCCCCTCGCTCTCCCCGCAAGCAGGAGGTAAGCGCGCCTACACGCCGGGGGTGGGGAGGGGGTTGGGGGCCCCGCCATCCGGGCCACGCTCACCTGAGAGCAGCTACCCCCACCCGCCATGCACGCCAGCGGGGCTCCCTCCCCAGGCAGCGTGCACCGCCGTTGTTGCAGCAGGGCTCCGATCCAGGGGGCGCTTACCTGAGAGAGAGGCAGCCGCGCTGGAGGAGCTTTGCTCGAACCGGCGTGCAGCGCTGCGATCCGGGGCACGCTCGCCTGACGGAGAGAGGGAGGGAGGCCCCCCCCATTCCCTGGAAGAATCAAACATCTTAACCCCCCTCCAATTGAACAAGGAGGTGGATTCCATAGATCTGGCTCTGTGGGGCCTCGTGTCCGGGAAGGGCGCCGCGCTGTGGGGCCGAGGGGTGCAGCTGCACAGCGGATGCGATTGCAGGGTTGGGCTAGGCTAGCTTCGTTCTGTGTGTTTCCCACGGGCGGGGGAAGGGGAGACTCGTTCCTGGGGTCCCAGGGTGGGGCTGCCCGGCCATGCAGCCCTGTGTGTGCGCGCGCGTGCACAGTGTGCCTTGGGTGCAAGCTCCTCCTTGAGTGCAAGTGGGGCTTGCTCCCAAGCAAACGTGCACAGGCTTGGCGGTGGAGCTGGGATGTTGTGCACCTGCATGGCAGCTCCAGCTCGGGGCAGGTTGCCCTCCGGCTTAACGGGCTCCGTGGAGGTCCGCCTGTGCATCTAGCTTGAAGGATCTCTGTAGAGGGAGAAGTCTTTTGGGGGTTGGGATGGCCAGCCTGTCGGGATCTGTGCCTGGGGGTGTGGGAGCGACTGCTCTCCGAATGCCCCTCAGTTGGGGTTCCTGGCGTCCAGTTGATAATCTGTCTCATGGAATGCCACATGGAGATCCAGATACAGCCCAGACATTGTTTTTATTTGGAAGTTCTAAAGTGTTCAATCTATCTTACTTCCAAATAGGTGCATCTGATTGCATTTGTACAATCCCATTGTGTGCCATTCAGCAAGTGCCTTTCAGATGTACTCAGTAAATGCAGTTGGATTTGGCTGTGTATGCCTGGAGTTCAGTCTGCTAACCACTACCTAACCTCCCTCACTCTCACATGCCTAAAAGCATCCATTTCTCTCCTTCCTGGCCCCGGACCATTGACTTGGATCAGTTTCATTGGGGTGTTTTGGGTTAGGGGAAACCTGGGATGCTTCCATGGGTTTCCCTGAAGGCCAGAGTTGCTTCTTATACTAAGGGAATCTATTAGGGGTACATTGACAGCATAATCCTATACAGATCTACTCAGACATAAACCTACTCCCAGTGCAAGTGAAATTAGGATTGCAGTCCTGTATCCACTTACTTGGAGGTAAGCCCCAATGAGTAGACATATCTAGGATTGTGTTTAAACATCCTTTCTAGAAGTGTTTCCAGAGGAAATCTCCCCCACACCAAATGTGTGTTATATTTATATGTGATTCAAGATTATGTTCACAAAGGTTTATGCAATGCTATATTTGTTAGTCTTTTAAGTTGCCAAAAGACTTCCTTTTTTCTAGAACTGTTCATATAACGTAGCTAGTGGGATGAGGATTGTAGTGGATTTGTGGGTTGTAGTGGATTCGTGCTGGACTGTGTTCTCAGAAGCTGCGGAGGTGTGAGTGTGGATGAAAGCTTGACCTGTTAGTTTCTGAGGGCAGACCTCTTTATGAGTTGTGGAGAGTGATGTTCCTGCTATGGGGTGCTTTAGGTTTCACAAGGGCCCCTTGAGAGCTGTCAGGCTCCAAACTAGGAGGCATTGCTTTAAATTAAAAGGACATCCAGCCAGTAGCCTGCTGTGGGAACTACTGTGAAATCTTTTTTTAAGTGCAGCTAAGGAAGTTGTTCTAGGCCCCACAAGGCAGGGTTAGTGATTGGGAGAGAATGAGAAGTTATTCTAGAGTGTGTAGGGGCAGCCATAAAACATGCACATTGTGATCTTGGCTTGTATCATGACAGGGAGCAAGTACTTCCCAAATTGTGTGTGTGTGATGGTGGGTGCCGCAGTGGATAGAGACTGCAAAAACACATGCCTGTGCCCTTCCTTGTATTTGCTTCTCATTGTGTTCTCAGTATGTGTTTAGAATGAAATGCCCTTAACCAGTTCACTTTAGGAATCTCTCCATAGTCTTTGTTCTTTTGAAGGTGAAAATAAAGAAATCTCAGATTCCCAGTATAATCTTCAGTAGAAATCTGCATGTTTTGTTACTGAATCAGCGAACAGTTCCATTGCTTTCTAAACAGGCTTTCTTTTTGTTTTGTTTCTCATAGTGTTTAATCTACACACCTTTATTTATTCTAGGTTATGCCAAGTTTTTCTTTGTTTCAAACAAATGTGGACATTGCTTCCTCTTTTTACCTGTTTGGGGGAGAAAAGATTAAGTTTCTTTGGCTCCTCAGCTCCCGCCCCCCCCAAAGAAAGTAGTTTATTGCCAATTCTGCCCACACGAGAGTAAAAGATATTATCCATGGGAAACATTTATTTTTGAAGAAAGACATTTGGGAGTCCAGCACCTGGGACCTTTAAAAAAATGTTAATGTAGCACTAGAATTACATTAATTATTACCTCCTGTATAGTTGGTAGTTTGAGTGATATTTTCTTTTGCAGGTGGTGTGAATAATACTTTTCAAACAGACTTTGAGTTCCTTGTTAGTACAGTGGTACCTCGGGTTACAAACACTTCGGGTTACAGACTCTGCTAATCTGGAAGTAGTACCTTGGGTTAAGAACTTTGCTTCAGAATGAGAACAGAAATTGTGCGCCAGTGGCGTGGCGGCAGCGGGAGGCCCCATTAGCTAAAGTGGTACCTCAGGTTAAGAACGGTTTCAGGTTAAGAACGGACCTCTGGAACGAATTAAGTTCATAACCAGAGGTACCACTGTATTTCTTCTTGGATTGTGTAGCTGTACTTTTCTTGAGTCACTCTGGTGCTGACAAGAGTTGTGTATTATGAGAAACCTTGAAGGCATTTAGGCATCTTGCTGTGCTATCTTTCCTGTGTAGTTTAGTTAGTAAATTGTATTAACATTATATTAATAACTTGGTTCACTCTGTCAAAGGCATCCATCCTTAAGCAATTTACAATAATAAATATGCAAAAACAATACTTGAAAGAGATTCTGTATAAACAATACAAATGTAAGGCTGTGGCCCAAACCTCTTTTGCCCTGGGCTGTGGAGTGGGTTTGGATTCAGTGGAGGTGTCCTTTCCAGTATACCTGAAGGAGCGTCTCCACCCCCATCGTTCAGCCCGGACACTGAGATCCAGCGCCGAGGGCCTTCTGGCGGTTCCCTCATTGCGAGAAGTAAGGTTACAGGGAACCAGGCAGAGGGCCTTCTCGGTAGTGGCTCCTGCCCTGTGGAACGCCCTCCCAGCAGATGTCAAAGCAATAAACAACTATTTTACTTTTAAAAGTCATCTGAAGGCAGCCATCTTTAGGGAAGTTTTTAATGTTTGATGCTGTACTGTTTTTAATATTCAGTTGGAAGCCGCCCAGAGTGGCTGGGGAAACCCAGCCAGATGGGCGGGGTATAAATAATAATAATTATTATTATTATTATTATTATTATTATTATTATTATTATTATTATTATTATTTCCCAATCCCTTCCAGCCTCTGCTGGTACAGAACTTCCTGTTTCACCTGCCAAACACTTGCATGGGCAGAAATGCTTCTGGCGGGATGCCTGCAGGCAGCAGCTTACAAAAAAACCTCCAGGCTGGGCATTCTGGTTGAGTAGGAGGGACTTAGCTGGTTCAGGTTTCACTGTAACCCAGTCAAATGATGGCATTGGACTTGATCTGCCCTGGCCGGTGTGCTGCAGTGCTGCAGATACAGTGGTAGCTTTGCCAGACTGTTAACCTCTGTCTCTCTTTAGCTATTGTTTGGATTGCAGCCTAAAACACTTAAGTTCCGCAATGACTTTGATTTGTTCAATGTTAAACAATTTTTCATGAGCAGTATGCTCTGTATTATAAGTAGTCAAATACTTGCTTTTGCTTGAGATTGAACTGAATACACCCAACAGGCATCTGGTTGGCCACTGTGAGAACAGGATGCTGAACTAGATGGGCCACTGGTCTGATCCAGCAGGGTTCTTCTTACATTGTTAATCATCAGTTCAAGTGGAACATGTTATGGTTTTCTGTCTTACACTGTTTTTCTCTGGCCCATGTCTGAAATTACCGGACCCCCTGTTAGATTCAGTTTTGGAAATGTCTGAAGTATTAAAACATTGGATGGAGCTAAGGCTATGTGACAATTCCTTTTGAGATAAGGAATAGAATTCACTTAACTCTTATGCTTTACTTTCTGTACCCACTCTGTGTCCTTTTTACAGTAAAATATTAACCATGTTCATTCAGAAGTAAGTAACCCATGGTTGCTTTCAGTGGGATTTCTAAATAAGTTTACAATTGCAGCCTTGCTGAAACACTACTTAGTCAGAAATCTTATTTGTTATTAACAATGAAAGTACTTAAAAATAGGGATAGTAAGTAAAAAGCTCACCAATATTAAGTGCTATGGGAGTGTGTGTACATCACATTCATTTCAATGGGAGTAAAATATACTTGCAAAGGTTCTAAAGCAACACAAGAGTTAACTGCTAAAGTTAATGGCTTTCCACAGTGATGTATAGTAATGGTAGACAATGAGAGTGAATAGTTTATTGCAAGTAGCAAATTATATATCATAATTCTAAGCAAACAATATACCAAAATTCTAAGCAAACAGCATAGAAATAGATTTTGAACTTTACTTAATTTGCTTGAATAGGGCACATGCTTTTTAATTTGAACCTATTGGAACAATCTGCAGGTAAAAATAAAATTCAATTTTGAGTGTATTTTGACGGTACAAACTGCAACATTCCAAGTATACTTCAGGTTTTTATTAGATTGGCAGATATCAAATTCTGGTTCTTATTGTGCCATAAGTATATGTACACAAGTGTATTGAAATATGACTTTTTCCTG